TTGAGGGTTTTTATGGGGGGGTGTTGCGGGAGTAAAATATGTGATCCTGTCCTTTGGGGGCTGTGCAGTTGCCATGCACAACTTTACCTCAGTATCAAACTGTTACAGTATCAAGTTACTGTGGAAAAGTCTAGTAATTTGCATTCTTCATGCTTCCTGATGAGTAGCTGTTAAGTGATGTAGCTTTTTTAGGTCGTAAGAGTTTGGAATTGGCACCATGGAGGCTCACTGCTTGCAGAGCATGTGTGAGAATTGTGGTGAGAGAAGGAGGTTCTCTTGTTTTCTTTGCCACATTAAAAAAATTGCTGTGTTTGTACCACTGACATGCAGTAGTTCTTTATTGGCTGTAGTCCTGTGATACCTCAAGGCCAGGCTTAGTTGTCGATCAGCTATGGTGCCAGTGGTATATTTTTGCAACATACTGATTCAGTATACTATGTGGAAAAGTTAATGTGTCTTACTGTAATAATTAAGAAAGTCATGTGTTGCTGAACTGTTCCAAGCAATTGTAGTGACTTTGGAAGCACACTCGTGTCATTAAATATCTCACATGTGAAAATGGTCATAAATTGAAGCTTATAAAACAAAATCAATGACTTCTGCTGTGTTTACTGACTTCAGAGTTGCATCATATCCAAATACTGAAGTGTGCTGTGAGTTGGATTGGGAATGTGCTGCATAAAGAATTAAAAAACAACCTTCTGAGAACAATTTAAATGTCTCTTGTTTTTTGCCTGCTTTGTTTGCAGCAAGATACGCAACCAGTAAAGAAGAAGCGGAGAGCGCGGTCTTCTGAAGGTACTAAACTATTTCTGTTCACGTAATAAGGGGCTTCTTTTCTATCATGCTTTAAAAGCACCAAGGATTACCTCTGCATCCATTAAATGCTGTAATTCCTTGTTTTATGAGAGTGTGTCTGCCTTTAAATGCTTGGTTGGAGTGCATGGTTAGTAGACTAGAGTGAGAGAGACAAATGTGCTGTGATTGGTGGATGACAGAGTGTGGGAGGGGTTTTTGAAGTGAATCTGTGTGGATGTGTCAGTGTGTCAGTTATGAGAGACAGGAAAATCAGTTGGAATTGTTCAGTTGGAGAGTTAAGTCAGTGAGTGTTCAGTTAGTTCTGAGTGAGTATATAAAGTTCTGAGTGAGTATATAAAGAGAGCAGTATATATGTCCTTAGCCTGTGTGGCTGACAATAGCAAAGAGTGACTCCTGTTAATGTTGGAACTGAGTGTCAAAACAACAAAAAGTAAAGAAAAAGACTGTGTGTGTGATACATTTCATAGACATATTTTCAAGTCCCTTTATCCAAGATAGTTACAGAATAACCAACCTCATAGTTTGTTCTTACTTCAATAAATCATCTTTTGTTCAAGTTTATCCCCTGATTTAGTTCTATCTTTCCTCAGGACCACATAGATCCCTGAAAAGTCCCGACTCTAGGTCACCTTACCAGCAAAAGAAACAGAAAGATCCTTAAATTCCTGGAGGCAGCAGAATCTACCCTGCTTACAAAAGCAAAGAGCACATTTAAAGAGAAAACCAGTCCTCCCTAATAAGAGGATGCCACAAATGCATATTCTCTTAACAATATTTTTTCTCAGTTATATTAACCTCTGTATAACGCTGTGGCTTCACCCGCTCTCCCCCCCACCAGCACTCCCTCCTTTGCATCAGTTGCTCGTGGGCCACATAAGAGCCCTGGATGGGCTGGTTTCAGCCCTGGGCCTACCCTTGACACCCCTGGGCTATGGCTTCTCTCTGCTCACCAGTTTTTTGTCTACCGAGTGCTTTGGAATCTTACTGTTGTGCCTGAATCATAAGCCTGCTGCAGTAAACAAGTAAAGAGGAATCTTATTTTGTTTACCAACGCTTATTGTTGGTATACTATGGCCCCGGTCACACGGGCCGGATATTGCGGGGGGAGGCGTGGCTAATTGCCCCGGAGGAAACTAAAGCAGGGCCGCCCAAGCACACGTCCCGGTCGAGGTCCCGTGGTTAGGGGGGAGATGCCGACCAGACGGGTATCCTGCAGCGCGGCACAGAAGCTGCGTGATCTCACTAGCAATCGCTCTTTGTGCTCATGCGCTGTTGGGCGCTATTGCGCAACCTGCGGAGACTTGGGAGACCAAAAAAACCCCGTTGTGTACGATGAACAGCGGCGGGCAGCGGATGCCACGTAAGTCCACTGGAAACGCGAT